TTACTCAGCCAAGGGGATGCTGAAAATAGCAGATTTAATGTCTATATTGCAGGTAAACTTAACTTTACGAGCTTGGACATTTGTGTTATATATTCGGTAAAATCTAAAAAGATTTAGGCCTGTTTCGCGCTCTTCTGAAGCTCCAAGACCGAAGTAAGCGGTTCAGATAAAGGCTCGCAACTAAGAAAAGGATTAGTTTTTACATTAGATAAGGTAAAATTAATTAGGGTTAGTATTTATATTAGATGAAAAAAATACTTATTTTATTAGATACTAAATCAACCTCATTCGGTATCTAACAGATACTTAAAATTTGTAGAATAAATAAATAAATATTTTTTAAAACTTCCTATTTCTAAGCATTTTAAAAATTTTATAAAAATTACAATATTTATGTCCGGTGTCTTTTTGTCAGAGTATTTTTGTCCGGGGGTATACATGTCCAATATCTTTTTGTCCGAGACATCGGGATTCGTTTAATTTCAACATATGATTAGTTTCTTTCTAATCCAGTACCGCCCAACTAAGATTCTAAATATTATAATAACTGCGCAATTTACATGCATGTCTAATCATTGACTTTTTTTTGGCACACTCTTTCGTCATATAAATCTTAGATAAATTTAGATTTATAAACTCTGCCAAAATTAGGTATAAAAAAATTTTACTTTTTTTTCTATCATTTTTTCCATGAAAAAAATAAAGTAAACAACTTGGGACAAACAATATGCAATTTAAACTGTAGTATAAAGCTTTTGTAACTAAAGAATTTACAAAGGGTAGGTTAATGATAATTAGAGATATCATAGTGATCTATCCGGATCGCATATAATTTCTGATAATATTAGTAAATGTTTTGTAATAAATTTGCCAATCACGAATAAGTCGTGAATATTTATTTTTAGTGATTTCAAAATTTACCATGGTGCGCATCTAGTGCGATTCATTGGTCCGGTCGGGCAAAACAGTTGGACTCATTTTGCTTTAATTTATAGTAGATCGGATCCTTGATAATGTCATATAAAACAGTATAATTATCATTTCGTACTTGCCTACGATACGATATGTCAGGTAAAGGCATACGTTGAGATATCCAATTTAAATCATTATCACTTCCATAAGACAAATAATGGTAGACGTGAGAATTAGAAAAGATTTGAACCAATTTTAAAATTAAAAAATACACTTAAGACATTGAGAGTTGGATTTAAAAAAATGCCAATATAAATAACTTTCCAGAAGTTGTCAAATCAGATGTTTTGACGGAAAGTGCCAACGCTATACTATGAATTTAGTTTTAGAGGATTTATTCATAAAAAAAACATGTTATATGTAATGTTAGAAATCATTATCACAATATATATAACTGAAAATTCTTCATCAATTCCTATAATAAAAAATATTAATACAGCAACATGTTGGGGATGTTCGGAAGGGAGGCTCTTAAATTTATCGAAGCCATTGGCAAAAAAAAGGAGACTTATCAATTTTCTTGATCTTCAAAGATATTTTGCTCAAAATTTTGGGCGAAAAATTTGAAAATTTTCATTTAAAGATTTTTGTTAAAACCTGATCTTAACATGATTAGTGTACTTAAACAAATTATTATAAAAAAAAAGGAAGAAGAGAATTATATCCTACATACCACCCTTATTATTTTTTGAAGACTATAGTATACTTTTATTTTAACCAATTCTCCTTCTTTTAATGCCCTTTATTTACATTTCTATTCGAACTATATTTTTTCATTATTTTTTAGAATATTATTGATCTTCATTTTAAATATTTTGTGTCACGACGGTTGTCCAAATATCAAGTCATCTTTATGATTAATTTGATATGAAAATTCTTCATTAAAAAAACTAATTTTTTTAAAAAATTTACTATAACCTTCAAGCTTGTTTTGTTTAAGATTATTATATAATTAATTGAAATATTTAGATAGATGTTTTCAAAAAAAAACTTAATTAATACATTATTTACACATGACACTATATTTTTGTGTTAGTTCAAAAAAAATTTTTTTTGTCTAATATTGTAAAAATATACGGGCAAGTTTTTAAGAATATAAATATAATGAAAAACCTTTAAGCCTGTCACTATTCCATTTTAGAAATGAGGATAATGCCCTTCAAAATTCAAAAATATAATATGGAAAAAATAAAATAATTAAATTCTATTTTACGATTACTGAGAACATAATTTGTGTAATTTCATTTAAGTATTCAGTTTCGTTCGGCGGTATTAAATGAAAAAATCAATCATTTGACCTGATACTTTTGATATCAGAAAATTTTTAAAATATTATACAAAAGCATTTTCTAAATTACTTGTTTGTTAAATGTATCTAGTCACTCTCGTAGACGGACAAAAAAAGACCAAACTTAATTTATTTTTTAAGCTAGAAAGCAATCATATCATCATCGAGGCTTCAAATTGACGTAAATATAAGTTCAACTTTTAAGAAAATATAAATAAATTAACCCTCGCCTCCATGCGCAGAACTTTCTTCAGCATGCTTCATCCGATTATCTTCAGCACACGATTGGTAGAATTAGACAATATTTTTATGCCATCACCCTACTCTATAACTGAGAGTATTTTCATTAAATGATTTGGTTAAGTGAGGGATATTCGGTCTCAATGTAAAAATCTAATATATTTTTTTAGCTCCTTTTTGTTTTTTTTAGAAGGAACAAAAATTTATATTAAATAAATTTGATTAAGGTAGTAAAAACTATTTTAGATATAAATACTAATAACAATTATGATTCATAAAATGATCATCCATTACACAAATATTATATTTGCCCAAATTTTATTAAAAGAAAGGAGATAAGAAGGTTTGTAACATTAAATAAGGGCCATTTTTATTATGCTATTTGGCCTAGGATACGAGCGAAATGAAGAAAATTATATTATAGTAATAAAATGATTATGATACAATGAAAATAATATTTATTTAAAATATGTCAGTGGTTGGTATAGGAGAATAGAATCTCATCAAAATATTCGTTTTGTTTTATACGAATGGTGTTCTTAAATAACTCGATTTGAGCCGATTTTTAAAATCCTGAATAATATTGTATAAGTCTTGAGATTTAGCCAATAGACGTTCAAACCTTCGTAGTCCATAAGCAAAATCTTCAATCTTGCTTTAAATTTTTCTGGTGGATAAAATATTGATGCCGTTTATAAAAGTCGGCCCTAATTGAGCCGTTTAACAACACTATATATGAATATCATATTTTATATATTTGAATATGAATAATGTTATATATTGGATTCGATTTTCAAATTGTTTGATTTGAGTTATTCTATTTGCTCAAAATTATTTTATTTGAAACGAAAAATTAAACGATATTCCAAAAGATTGAGTTCAGATTTTTTTTTTAAATAAAAATTTGTTTTGGGACGTATAAATTTTAATTACCTTTTTGTCCTATATTGTCCCGAAAGCAATCAAATCAAGGTTGACTTTTTATAAGTGCATATTTTACATATATATTTATTATTAAAATATTTTGATATTTTTAATAAGTTACTTTTATGGGTAACAAAGTTATTTTCTCTTTAAAAAAATCTTGTATCTTTTTCATTTTCTTGCCAAAAGATACAGATACAAATTTACTATTGGCTTCGTAACATTTTTTCCCCTCCAGATTCTTGCATTAATTTTGTTGTTTTTCTTTCTTTCCTTCCTCTCTTTCGATTTTTAATTAATATTCATTATTATTTTATATTTTGACATAACAACTTTACTGTTTATACAATTTTAGGATTTCTTGTCCATATTTATACTAATCATTATATTAAAATAATCATTATTATCTTATTTTATAGGGTGAAAAAAATATATTTATTTATTATTTCAATGTCCAACATTTTGGGTTGCCCTTTGGACACAATACTGGCTATAAAAATAGTAATTGCAATATGTTGATTATATATTAGAAATCTGCAAAAGTAAGCCCGGCCCGTCCCGGGCTCGGGCCTTACATTTTTAAGAAAAATTCGATCCGGGTAAAGGGGGGGGGGGGGTCTTGGAAATTTAATTAAATATATTTTGATACATCAATTTTAAATTGAATTTTTTATGAAAAATAAAAATATTTGATTTTATTTATAAAACTAGACGCCATATAACATATGTCTTTTATTTTGATTAATTATAAAAATTAATTTACATATTTAAAATAAAATCGGGCCGGACCGGGCCGGTAAAACTTTTTTGAAAAAAATTTCGGGCCGGGCCGCGCTTGAAAAATTAGGCCCGATGCAGATCACTATTGTATATACTTATTTTTTAAAAAAAAATTTAATAATGATTATATAGTTTTTAATGATATCATATAAATGATATAATAAGAATATTTTATTATAGTTGTCTAATATCATGTGTTTGCTATTAAATAATTTTAAAGATTTTTTCTAAACGATTTAAATTTTGAGATGGTATTCTTGAGGAATAAACTATAGAATTCAATGTTTATCATCAGCTGGTTGAGGTATTTTTCTCTATGTGTTATGGGTTGGCATCCCTCTATTTCCCCTCTTGTTACTTGATCTTGCAATTCTTCTATAGAACATGGGTTCAAGGCGATGATATCGATTTTTCTCAAATCTCAAGATTTCTTAACTTTCTCATTAACGTTATGGTTTTTTTCCGAATAGCTAAAACTTCGTTAAAGATACCTTAGACCTAAAAAACTCTTATTTAGCAAAAATACAGGTATCTTATATCTTGTATGCTAGATGCTTAGTATCTGTTTCGAAGATACATTTTTTTATAAGTAATTTATGGGCCGTATATTATATTGAAGACCATGAAAATAACTGTTAACCTTGACCAAAAATACATATTAAATCATTATTTTTAATATTTTCAAATATCATTAAGAAAATAATTATATAAGATTGTTAATTATATCTTACATACAAGAATTAACGTTAATAAAAACTTATGTACTTTAAGAAATCGAACTATTAATATATTAAAATCAATGTTTTGGCTTGAGAGGGCAGGCTTCTATATCGCTGATAATTTTCATAAAAGACTTCCATAACTCAAGATTTTCCGTGCACACCATTCCACCCGATCTTTTTTTCTGAGGATACTAAAAAAATATATATAAATTAAATAAATGAAAGTTTTCCTTTCCAGCATTCCTAGTCATAAAATTTGCATTATAATTTAATATCCAATAATTAACTATACCTTGTAAAGCTCATTCTAATTATATTTTTGGTTATATGGCGTAATCGTGGAATTTTCTTAATTATAAATTAGCTACTCTGCATCTGACCAGTTCGCAATAGTCTGTCTTGGTGCAAAGATTAAAAGATTTTTGGCTGCTAAGTATGTGACCGTAATCTTTCGTTAAAAGAGATTAGAATTCGTCCACCCAGAATTTCAAAATAAAAAAATAAGCCCGATTCCTTCCAGAATCCGCTTAGGGATCGTTTGCATAATTATACAATCCACTTAAACTCATTATTCTAAATGTTTGTATATGCTTTTAAATTTCAAGCAAATTAACACTCAAAAGCTCAATTGGGCAGGATGGTCAAATTATGAAAATTTATTTACCCCCCTATTCAAATCCCCGATACATACAACCGGTCTGCTATCGCCACTGTTTTTGTCGTTTGTTTTAACAGCGTTGTTTGTATCAAATGAAGTTATGGCCCATTTGGAATGATCATTGAGTTCGGAAAAGGATATTTTCCTTTGACAATCTAATACCTTGATAAATAGATTTGATTGTAATGGAGTTAGGGTAGAATTTTTGTCCAGCCTTTGGAGAAAGCTGGAGAATGATTGAAAATAACCCCCACCCCTTCGCACCCTTAATCTTTTTGAAATATCTAGTATAACAAATAAAAATTAATAACCATACACCATCCCCTCTTTCCTCCAAAATGGATAATTAGTTATAATAAACAATTTTTTTAAATAATAAGTATATATTATATACTTATATATAATTTAATAAAATTTTATAAAAATGATTATAGTAATTATTATTCAAATTTTTGAGGGAAAAGTAATTATACCTTTAAAATTAACCAAATATAACTAGCTCTATATATTCGAATTAGCCCTATTCGAAATGAATATTAGTTGAGTAATATATTATTACCATTCGATTCGTTAGCATGCGATCAAGTCATTGAAATTAAAATGTATCTTATATTAATTTATATTACTGAGCCAATTTTTAAGGGGAAGGAGTTTTTTCTATTGTTTCTTCTTTATGCTACATGCGATTTTTTGACAGAAAAATTAGTTCCAACTGAGAAAAGCCTCAAGCTGTTGATGAACCTGTCAGATTGACAAGCTATCAAGGGAAATGAAAAATACAATTTGATTTGAATATTCGAATTATTTCTTTTAATAGAATAAAAGTTTATTCGTATTCAAACAAAACTAATAATATCCTTATTCGTTAATTCCATTTAATTAGGCTTATTTTGCATCATTGCTGGAGGAATAAATAGATAACAGCACGTGTGGTCCGTAGCCAACCCGCAATAAAAAAGTTTTTTGGGTTCGGGCTCGGGTCAGGTTGTAAGAGCTGTCCGACCCGAAATCAGTCCCGAAAATAAATATTAATATAAATACCATAATTAATCATTATAATTTATATTGTCAACTATAAAACCATAACATTTTTTTTGATCATCTTTTTTATCCTCAAAATGTCAATCAGAATAACATGTCATTTTTAATAATATTTTATAATTTACTTAACAACCAAATACCAAACTATTTTATGTGATTATATTTTAGTACTTTGCATTGCATAGTTAAAACGATATTATTACATACTTTACTTTCATCATATTCTAGTTGAATAAAACATATTTTACTAATATCTATTTAATTAAGTAGCCTCATATTTTTATATTAAAAAAATTATTTTAACGAATGCCAAATTAAAAAAAATTGGTGAAAAGATTAAATGCAATTATGAAGTGAGGGAAAATGCCAATGGCAAATCTGAGGTCTGGAAAAAGTTATCATTTATATATGATGAAAACTAAGAAAAACTTAATTATGTCCGTTGCAATTTTTGCAAATATATATAGGTTTATAATTCTATAACAGGTTAATATATTTATACACTAAATAGATGATATTATTAAATTATTTTAGGCACAAATCAAAAAGGCATAAATGTGTATTTACAATAGAGAGTAAAAAGACTCAATTAACAATTGATAGCCTTTTTTGGTACTGATCGCAGAAAACTCAAAAGTTGTAACAAATTAAAAAAAAGAGTTTACAAAGGTGCTTGCCATGTTTTATGGACTTGATTAAAGATCATTTGATACATTCATGGGGAAAGCTTTGTTGCATGTTGCCAATATTACGCCAAAATTGGCTCAATATATTAAAATATTAATGTTAAAAGCATCATTCCAAATCCTACGACAATTTCTAGAGTTGTATATACTGCTGATAGTATATGCAATAAATATTTTCCAAAATTAAGCGCATATATGAAAAAGGGTTGATGTCTGGTATCAAATATATGAAAATATGTTTAAATTATTTTTAATTTTTATAACAACCACAGACCTTTGTACTGATAACTATAAGAAAGTATTCTATGTAACTCTTACTATTAATTTCTTAAATGATTCTTGGAAACTTAATAAAGTTGTGTTATTTACATGCAAGTTTGAAGAAGAAGAAAAGACGGGTGAAAATTTTAAAAAAGAAATTATTAGAAATTTTATCTCATTAGATATTGATTTCATTAAAAATAAACATAAAAATCAGGTATTTTCTATGTCAGGATATGTTAAATCAACTATTTATTAAAATATAGCATTAGATTAATCAACTTGGCAAAACACTCCATTTGTGTATTGAATCTCGATGGAATAGCAGACTAAAGATGTTTGAACCGATTTTTAATCAATTCAATGAAATATTGGAGATTCTCAGTTATAGAGGCTGCAAATCTTATAATGCTTATAGATTCAGCAGATAGTTCTTTTAAATTCAGGTAATTATTACTTGTATTTAAAAATTAAAAATACGATTAGGCTTGAAAATATAAACTTAAAAATCATGAGGGACCATAACAATTTTTTACGCCTTTGCGAGTGATGAACTTGAAGGTGATTTAAAACCTACCAATCACAAAAGTTATATTGTGTTATCACAAAATATTGAGTTTTTTTTTAGCTCATTCAAACTTAAGCTAGCAGCTTAACCAGCAGTAGCAATGATGTTGTGAAATAATGATAAATTTCAAATAAATATATTCCACCAACTTTCGATATTTTTGTGCCCAAAATTTCTTGATACGAAACTGTTATTCCGAGAACATTATAAAGATTTGTGCCAACATATTAACATGTTGATTAATGCAGAGAAGATCAACAGAGATATGATTGGGCAAAAATCTATAAATACAAAATCGCCATCTAGCTCCTACTCAACTGATAGAGTAGTGAATAAAGAAAGGTTCATTAAATAAAATTATAGATTAAAAAATAATAAAGCAAATATGGTTCCCGTTCTAAATCGCTAAAACAAAAATCGCTAAAAATTGGGAACCTGGCTTATATCTCCTAGAAAATTTTTAAAGTAAATTTGAAATTAATATTAATAGATACTAGGGGATTAAATACTTGTATTTAAATTGAAAATTTAAAAAAAATCGCTAAAATGGAAGAAATATCATCCAAATTTTAGTATCTATTAATATTAATTTCAAATTTACTTTATAAATTTTCTAGGAGATGTAAGCCAGGTTCTTAATTTTTAGCGATTTTTGTTTTAACGATTTAGAACCTATCCCAGTAAATATATATTTTTTAAAATGATTATATATTATGAATATTTATTTTCTTAAGAAAATACTGAGGCAGATACTTTTTTGAATTTATCTCTGGCTGACAATACGTTTTCTGATGCTAGCGCTGAAGTTGACGAATTTCAAAAATACCTAGATGCTAAATTATATATTGAAGATGATAATATTTTAAATTGGTGGAGAAAACCATAATGACTTTCCAAATTTAAGTATTTTGGCTCTTAAATTCCGCTATCCCTGTTTCGTGGGCTAGCAGTAAAAGAGCGTTCAGCTGGTGGTAGGGCCTTTGAAAAGAAAAAGATTCTTTAGTCAGATTTATTTATATATTTACTTATATGTCTTTATTAAATTTTTTAGTCACTATATTAACTATTTCGACATAAATCATGCATATTATTTTTATATAATCGCTGTAATTTTTAAATTCGATTGTATTTCAACTTTTTTATAATATTTTTTACAAATTAAATAAAATGCGACTTAATATATATTTTGATTAGATTATGGCCATCAAATTAACTTTTATTTAAGGTGGCGATGAATTAAATACATATATATATTTATGGATATTATAATATTCAAACTCAAATTGTAAAATTATATTCGGGCTCGGGTCGAGCTCGGACATAAATTTTTTTAAATTCGGGCCCCTGCGGGCTCGGGCTACGAAAAAATCACTTTACAGACCTCTAGGAAGAAATATCATTGCAAGAATTTATTCAATTATTCCTGTCGCGATTAGTTGGAATTGCGCCATTTTTAGATTTTGGCTAGCTGAAAAAGGCTAAACCTAGTACATCACTAAACTTCGGGGTTCTTTTTAGAATATAAAGACTTATTTAAAGGAAGCCAATAAATTAACTCACGCCTTATTGCTTAGAAAATTTTCTTCAGTAAGCCCTTGAAGACTGAGCAGCCAGCTATTGTCCAACTATAATTGTGGGTATAAGCTTTTTATAACTAAGAAAGGTCTATTATATATTATATTTATATAAATAACACATTATTGATATCACCGAACTGTAGAGAAATCCCCATTACCTGAACAAGATAAATAATTGTGGTGAATGAGCAACAAAAAAATTTTTTTTAAATTAACTTGATTAGTATTATTGGATATGATATCGAAAGAAATTTCTTTGATATTTTGAACAGTAGGTTGTTTAAGGCAGGAAGAGTTGAGAGCCTGTTTGGAATTTAGTTGCCAGGTTTCGGAAAGCAAGTTAGAACCATAATAAGGAGCTATCATGTCACTGTAAATATCTTTATTTATAATAATAAAACAAAAAATTGACTAATGTACCTTTTAGTGTTCCCTTTTCAAATAAATCTCCTCTCTATTCTAGAAAAGAAAAAGACCAATTTAAAAAAATTTAAATTTATGGGATGCATTTTAGTTATATTTTATACCAATGATACTCGAGTTATTAAACAGGCAGAGGATACCCCTCCCCTCTCCCCACCCCCCGTAGCAAATTTATTTGAAAATATATAAAAGGGCTCAGGCGCGTAGCCAGCGGGAGGGGGTGAGAGAAGGGGAAAAATCCACAGGCTCATAGCATGAATATTTGGAAAAATATAAAAAGGTTTCATGAATTGTGAATTGTAAAGTATTCTATTTCAAATAGGTTATATTCTATAAATATTGGTAAAAAGTTAAAATTAATTTAAAAATTTATTTCTTGTATATTAATATTTTATCTCACGAAAATTTAGTTTATTTTTTTAAAATTTTTTAAATCTTAAATACTGTAAGATATAAGAAAATTTTATTGACCAAAAAAAATTATTTTAATTTATCTGTATTAATAACTTTGATTAGAAAATTTATAGAGTGTATGAAATGTTCAGATATTCAAATAGACAGAATTTGCTGAATATAATTATTTCGAAACTTCTTGTGCTACGGAAAAAAACCTGCAAAGGGCCTGCACGACAAGATGGAGCCCTGGATATCAAGCTGTTACAACATTTTTTGGATCTAGAAGAGCCTATTTTGTGCCCTTAGTGGAATATCAGGAAACACTTGAAAAACATATTTCATCTGAGGTTGATATATTATTAGATTTAATATGGCTGTCGATTTTTCATTGGAATGTATTAATAAATTTTTTATTCTGAAGTTATGAGAATAGTAAACATTTTTATATTAGAACTTAAAGGACCAAGAGATAATATCGACCAGAAATTTCTCGAGATTTATTTGATTGTTGAGGTGAAAGCGAAATTATATGATTTTGAGATTCACAAGCCTCGACTTTCACTAACAAATAAATCGTTCTAATAATAACGTGCACCCAATTGAGGATCATTATAAAATAAGCGTTTATATTCCACTTTTGGATTTAATTTTGACTCAAATAATGAACGATTCGTTATTTAGCAAATGGCTATATCTAATTTACAAATACCATATCTCATATCTCCTTCTTATCTGAGGATATATCAAATCTCGATATTGAAAAATTAAATATTTGGCTAAATCTTATTCAGAGGGTATAAATGTATCTGAAGGCCAATTAATTTCAGAATTTAAATGGTATAAAAAATTCATTTTTATAGATGATTCTCCAAGAAATACAGTGGAAGCATTGCATACTGTAAAATATATTTTATAAGTTTTCCAAAAATTTTAAAATTTATGTATATTTTGGCTATTGATACCAATTAGTACGAGCACAAATAGCTTATAAAATGTTAAATTTTATATTTTATTGTGATTTACATACCGGTTTATATAGCTATGATATTTTTTAACTGTATTATATTCGCTCTTAATATTTTGTATTTTCCAATATTTTATTATTTGTGGAAATTGTCATATTAAATTTTATATGATGATTAGTTCTAAAAAAATTTTAATGTTCCAAAAAAAATTCTTTCAATATAAAAAAAGGACTTCACCCCCCCCCCCTGTAGAAAATTTCTGGCTACGCGTCTGTAAACAGGTATGGCATAGTTTATATTTTATATCCTGCTGAGAATAATTTGTATAAATCCCCTCCCCCTAATCTTGATTAGAAAAGCCAGGTTTTGGACTTTTAAACGGTATTATTAGTGTTTGAAAATTTCATTTAAAAAGTTTCCTCTTTCTTTTTCTTTCATTCGAATTAGAGGTGGGCGCGGGCCTAATTCTCACGGTGGTAATAAAAAAATATCACGCCCATTCACGCTTAACACTAAAAAAATTTCGACCCGATCGGCCCGCTCACGACAAGCAATATTTTGATTCACGCCCGTCACGCCCGAAAATTCACGGTGTTTTTAAATTTTTCAAACCTATAGCTATAATTTTACACTTTTTTGAATTCATTCTATTTATTTCTCTAATTTCACAACCCATATTAATAACAAAAAATAAATACAATCTATAAATCGAAATTTATTTGGAAAAAGAAGAATGTCTATCTTTTTTTTATTTCAATTGTGTACGCCTTTCCTCTAGTAAAAGATTGGCTACAGAAAATAACCTTTCACTAGAAGCCGAACTTGCAGCTGATAATTTTTACTCGATAATTTTCTCAAAAAAGGAAATGAATATTCCTGCTTCCAAAACTTCAAAATAATGTCTTGTTATTTATCTTATATGAAACTTTTAAGTTCATCCTCACAGCTTTCATCGGTGTTGTTGATGCTTCATCAGAATCATCTAATAATATACGGTCTTTTATGAGTGTAGGATGAATTAAGAAAGTGACAGTTGGTATTGATCATTTAGAATATACGGTTTTTTATGAGTTTAGGATAAGTTAGGAAAGCTATAAATGGTAGTTGGCATCGATTATGCATATCATCTAATTTTATATCATTTAGCATTTTTAAGATTGTTTTATATATATCATTTTCTTCTTTTATTAAAAACTTAAGTCTTTTGAAATTCGGATCTAGAATTAAGCCTACTATAGTGACTGCATAATAATCTTTTAAATGAAATCTTGTTCTGAATTTTAAGGTTTTGATTATTATTGTATCACGTTCAGAAGGTTAACAAAATTTTATTAATTTTTGTTTCCATAAAAAAACTTTATTTATTGTGGGACGAGAATCTGCTCTCAGATTATCCGAGCATTCTTTAAATATTGATAAAAATTTATCTAACTCGCGTATGATGCTGATATCAATTGTGGCTAATCTATTTAATTCTTGCTTGCTAAACAAGTACACCTGTATTTCAGAATATGATTTTAAGAAACTCTGTATCATGATATATACAGAGTTCCATCTCTGTATCATGATATATACAGAGTTCCATCTCGTTATTCTCGCTATTACATATTGTTTAAGGGTGTGGCTTAGTTTGCTATTAGCTGTGTTTGAAATAGTACTATTTTTTTTTACACCATTTATATTTAAGGCTATTTCAGTTAAACAATTGTCAAAAATATAATCTATAATATTATTTAGTATATGGCAAACACATGCTAGCGTTTCGTCATCTTTGAATGCACTTATAAGATTTGCTCCGTTATCACTCACAACTATACATTTATTTAAGTAATTTTCTACTACTGTATATTCTCCTAAAATTGAATTGACTAAAATTTTAATTTTGACGTTTTTTTCATCCATTGCCCTTGTGGCCAAAACAAATGTTTTTAATTAAAATCCTTAATGATAAAATGTCCTATAATGGTTAAAAAACTTAGATTTTTATAGTCATCCATCCAAATATCAGTGATTATGGACAATGATCATGCTTTTAATCTTAAATTTTATTTCATGGTATATTTTTGGACCTATAGTATTCATGAAAGTTTTCCGGTTCACAACTTTTATATTTTGTTATCCATATGTAACACCAACATTTATCTCTCGGCCTAGCTTGTAAAATCCTTCACTTTCTGTTGCATTTAAAGATTGAAGATCTTTACAAATAAAATATAACTGACTTTTCTGTAAAAAATTTAAGCAAAATTTAGCATATAGTCTCGCGATAAAAAACACCTAAACATAAAAAGAAAATAGAACTAACAAAATGATACCGGATGTTGTTTATAAAATGCGGAAGATTTTTAGTTTTCATAAATTATTCTTTTCTAAAAAAGAACTAAATTAAATAAGAAAATATATAATATTATTATAAAATTACAAATTTATATTTATAAAAAACAATTTTAAAAATTAAAATTTCCGTGATTCACGGAAAATTTATGTTCACGCCCGATCACGCCCGCGGAAAATTTTGGGAAGGCCCGTCACGCCTTGGAATTTAAAATTTATTCACACTCACGCCGTGACCCACAGTGACACGATAATTTTACGGCCCGCGCCTACCTCTAATTCGAATTATAAACCTATTTCTTGAGAGGGGTTATTTTCGATCAACATGTTTAATATATAATAAATATTTCAAACCAGCATCGAATTTCTTGTATTTGGCGAAAGCCACGAATGGAGTTTTATTCCACAAGGAATAAAAGATCTTTGTAAAGGCCCAAGGTGGTTTCTTGTTAATATTCTTCTTTTGGCTTAACCATTGGAGATACTGATTTTCTGACGTAAATTCTTTGGGTAAGTTCTTGTCATAAATGTATGGAGAGTTGTAGTATATTAATTGGCCTTGTTTTTTTTTAGAAAAAATTAAATTGAAAGAATACTATTATTATTTCGTAAGTAAAATAAAACAACTAACAGGATATTTAAATAGTATTACAAGGTTTGCCAAAAAATGACGGTTGAGGGGGAGGGACATGCATGTCTAGGCATACAAAATAGGATCATTCAAAGTTCAAAGTTCCGAAAAAATTAAGGAATTGGTCCTTAAAGAAAATAGGTTTAGAGTTTATCAAAATTATTAAAAACGCGATATTCGAAAGCCAAATATAATATTTTTAATTTTTTTCTTTTATTCGATTTTCAGTGGGACCAATTTTTTTCTGAAATCAATCTTAGCGTTAAAAAAAGCCATAGAGATCTGAGTTGATGGCTTAATAGCTACCCAATTTATAGATTATATTAGGGGAGACCGGGGATCTTATGAGCCCTAGGTTCTTGCAAGTCTTGGTGGTCTCATCTAGAATTAACAACTAGAATGGTTAATTTTTTAACCAAAAATATAAACGAAATTATGCATATTGCTGTAATTTTTTTTAAAATATCGGATCACATATAAAATTTTTACAACATAATATACGATTTATACCCCCAAAATTAAATTTTTTAAATTCTGCAATTTATCAAATAATAAATAGTTAATTATCCAATAACTATCTTATATAAAAGATTAAACCCTATCATCCTATTCTATATAAAATTATTCCTTATTCGATTAAAAAATATTTTTAAACTACCATAAAATTAAAGTTTAAAGATATTCAGGGTCTGGAGCTATTTTTCAGCGTACGAGCTTTTTGAGCGTCATATTTTAAATTTATATTTGCTTATTAGAAAAAAGAAATAACTTACACGTGATGAATGAATATATTTAATGAAAATCCGTTTTTGCTAGTTGTTATTGAGAAAAACTTAAGTTATGCAACATTAAAAATATTGTAAATCAAGATTAATGAAACAACAAGATTTTAAATTATCTTCATCAAGACAGATAATTAAGAAATAACTAGAAACTATTAATTATTATATCTTATTATCTAATATGCATCTAAAATGAGCAATGCCGGAAATGCTTTTTTTAGGCATATAGATCCTATTGCAATTTTAATCCTTTCTTTATTTGTTTGAATTGTCAACAAATCAGTAATTATTTTTCATCATACCATATTTTTATCAATAAAGTAGACACAATAATATAAATAATGTTCAATATTTTACAGCTCAAAAGCCCCATATGGGAAAATTTGTCCTTTCAAGGGTGTAGCTCATTCTTTCCCAAATTTTTTCAGAAAAATTATTTTTATGTATACATAATAGGTGGAATAAAGTGAGAAATATATATTCATAAAAATCAAGTCGTTTTCATTTTATTGCCGTTTGCCTTTTAGGACTTGCATGCTCCCCGGTCTCCCCTACTAATATTTTTTAAAGCACATTTATATAAGATTCAACTTATATTGAGCATTTGAGAATAATCGAAGGACATGCACAGGAAATCTTGCCCATTAGAAGCTCCGTTTGGCGGATAAACATATTGGTTTCGTTTATTGCCAAATAACCGATATTTCTTTAGAACTGGAAGTGGAAAACGGGGCAAACTGTGCACCAACCAAGCTCCCGCGCTGTGATTGGACATCAGAACACCTAAATTTTTGTTGTTATAAAAAAAATCAAATTAAAATGATAAATATAATTTCTCAGCGATAAATTCAACACATTTATCCGATTTTTTGCTTCATTTAACTTCATAAAAAAAGGTGTTCTATTGTTATTTTTTAAACAAAAAATTTAGGGCTTGGGCCGAAATTAGAAATACTTCTTGCCAGATAAAGATAATAAGAAATTTCAACAAAATAATTGGTTTAAAAAAAATCGTTGAACTAAAAAAACCTTTGGTGTGTCCTGTTGATGAGTGAGATTTTTTGTCAGGAGTTTGGTCGTTGTAAGTTAGAAACATAAAATCCTTTTTTTTTAAGATTTGATTTTATAAGATGTTATGTATATAAAAAGGTTCCATTTCTATTCCGTAAGACACTTTTTCTTGAAACTTTCGTGAATGTTTATTATAGCGAATAGATTTTATACGTAAAACCATTACCACGAACTCTTTTTGAGTCGATTTTTAAAAACGGCCAACTCAATATTTCATCCAGAAAAATACTACGCAAGCCTGAAGATTTGGCTCATAGAGGGAACAAAGGTATAACGAAATCTCGAGCCTTCGGCAATATTTTTCTGGCTAAGATATCGAGTTAGCCGTTAAAAAAAATCGGCTCAAAACGAGCCGTTTAACAACACTTTATTACAGCTAAATTAATATTGAAAAGACAACATTGTGAATCGAATTCCGTGATAATAGTAACTATTTTATTTTGAACTATTTATTTTTTAAGACCATATTAAAAATAAATTTTGATTCAAAATATCTTTATTCCTTTTTTTTAAAATGTATTTAAAAGTAACATCAAAAAAAATTTCAAAACAGACAAATCTGACTGTCGGTGTGAATAATATCACTACTAAGTTACCGATAAAAAACAAGGATTTATTATATATGTTAGCGACTATGTGTTTTTTCATGCAGATTTTTTTTAAATTTAAAGATCTAATTTTACCGGAAATGTATTCCTGCAAGAATATCTATCCTATGAATTGTAGACAATTTTGCCATTAACCTTTGACTCATTTATAATTTATATAAGAATTCTATGGAAAATTAATATAAATCTTTTTTTGAATTGCGAAGTTCATGTTAGAGGGGAGAGCAATGCTACATATATACCAATAGATTGGCAATTCATTCATTACATACATTTAAAAGTGACTACAAATACAAGTCAGGTGTAGAGCCATTTTATGATTAGCAAGTCGATAAAATTATATTTGATAAAAAAAGACAATTAGTCGACGTGCAAACCTCAAATGGTGTTACAGCTTACTCTTATGTATGGACTCTTTTAATTAATCTCCATTACATCATTGGGATAGAAATGAATTTATCGGGGTAAAAAAAACTTGAACCCAAAATATCCCCTCCGTATTTACGACTATGAGTGAGACACCGGAAAGAAATTCTAAAGTTATTATTTTATCAAATCAAAATCGCATTTAGGCAAACTCTTATACTTGCTTTAATAGCCAATAAATAACATAATACGTGCAAAAGATTTCGCGCTTATGGTTTAAGAACTTATGCCAGCAATTTAGTATGTGTATTAAGCTATTTTTCTATTAGTACATTCGCAATATATTTATTATTTCGCGAAAATACATGCTGTAAAAAAAGAAATCGATATAATGGGCTTGCGATAAAAGTTCTGCTAAAAAATATTCAAGATTTGAGTTTCTCAATATTAAATTCGTGCTAAAAGTGTCGCTCTAATGCTTTGTTTCTAAAGTTTTCGCGGTTCAGGTTTCGTGAATTTGCAATAATGGGTTTTCGAAATTATCTTCGCTGTAAAAGTATCGACGAAAAAAATAATTGCGAAATTAATTTCAAAATAATATCTTTGCTTTAAAATATTCGCTTAAACGGCATTTGCAGTAAAAATATTTTTGTAAAAGTATAAAAATTACCACTGATTTGAGATGATACGATATAAAAATGAACGTTCAATTAAAAATATACTTTATTATAATGTGTTTTGATAATAAAATATACCTTATCTATCTAAATTATAAAGTGAAATAATATTTAATATTTTAGCCTATTTTTATATTTTTTTCTAAATGAAACATATTCTGACGCCATCAAAAATCCTTATATGCGGTTAGGATATTAAAAAGTTCATCCTTCTAGAATACTCTTAATGTTGCCTAGAGTCCATTTAAAAAAATGTCAGTCTATCTTCAATTTATAGAATTAAATCTGATCGCATATTCCGAACGATCCAAAAAAAATTAGATCATTTAACGTATAGCTATAAAAAAAACTACAAATTTTGTCTAATAGAAGCATTTCGAGGTTCTTCACCTATGAATATATAGTTAATGCGACGAATACCATTGACAAGCTTAAGAAAATCCTAAAACCCCCTCCCCCTCTCACCCTTAGATTGAAAATAATTTATCTGTAAAATGGATATTGACTCTGTTGGCTGCTAAGGGTCTTCCTTCACTTCGAATTAACCCTCCTAAAATTTCAATAATATAATAGTATGTCTTTAAAAGCAACAATTTCGGGCTTACATATTGATATAATATAAAACTTAAAATAATGAACTTTCGGATCATTATTGTCGTACAATTGCTTCATTGTGTAAGCTAAAGCGTTATCGCTATTTTCGATGGATTTTTTTGGGTATTTCCAATTAACATCCTCGCTGTCCAAATAAGCGTAGCCTAGTCCTTCTCTCAATACATTATCTTCGTGCCCTTCTATTTTCGGTATTTTGTAGATAATAAACCTTAATATTTTATTTTTAAAAAATAGAAGAAAAAAATTCGACTTTCGAATGCTATTTTATTAATCAAAATAAGTGTATTAAAATTAAATGGTAAATATAAAAATAATTTGGTAGGATTTATAATATAAATTTACAAAATTTTTAAATAATTTTAATGGAAGATTTTGGACATGTTTCGTAATTTTTTTAAAGGTATAAAAATTTTAAGATTTTTTAAAAAATATTTAGGACATACATAGCTTAAATAGATTATAATTGATACTTTTGAAAAATAAATAAATTAAATTATAGTTCAATCAAAATATTATTCTAGAACATCTTTTAAAAATAATTTTATCTAAAATTTGATCATTTTACACCCAATAATTTTTAAAATTTGAAATGGTTAATCTAAAATATCGCTCTGTACCATGTTTGTAATTTTTTTTGACAAGATCAGGATTTTTCAAAGAAAATATTTTCGGCTCGTTTCAGGCCTTCCAGTGACCCCTACAACGGGGGGGGGGGGTCCGAAGCAACTGGTTCAGTAAATTTGAGTGGGGGTACTTTTTTTTTTTTAAAAAAAAATTTTTTATAAATTTTTTATTTTAAAATTTTGAGTGGGGGGTACTTTTTTTTAAAAAATTTTTATTTTAATATCTGAAAATTTTTTTTTTATTGTTTTGCTACATCCATCCATAACCAATTGATTTCTGGTTTATATATGTAATAATAAGACCCCCCCCCCCCCCCGACTTATTTATTAATTTAATATGTATTGACGGAAATTTTAGATCGATGTTTAGTAAATTAGGTTGTTATCCGAGATTTCTTGTCATAAATTATTTTTCCAATTTCAAAATATGCCAAAAAATATTAACCAAAAATAATAAAATGTTGTTAGAAAAAAATAAAATATCTGACTCTTTTCATGATCATGAAATTTAATAGCGATATTATTGTGCATGAACACAGACACATATGATGGCCGATTATAGCTTTCACACACAACAAAAATTCTATATTACAATTTATAATACCCCAGAAAGAATGTGTGGATAATAACCGTTCTATCGTAAGAATATTAATAAGATGTCTAGGTTATTTAATATCTCGTAACCAAGCCTTCTGGGGAACAGGCTACAAGAAGGCAATATGACGGGCCTTATTAAACTCATTGCAGATTCTGAACCTGTACTGGGAGAAATACAATAAGGGATTAAAAACGAAATCATATGCAAATCTATTAACATATAATAACATAAATATTCTCATTAAACCATGAAAAATATGGTTATAAAAAAATTCAAAATGAGATTGAATTTAACAGGTGCTTTTCAATCATAGTTGATGGCACATATGATGTTTCGAAATCAGAAGCAATAGCTTTGACTAAGATGTGTTGAAAATAGTGAGATGCCGAAGCCTGTTGAAAGACTGATTGACATATATTGTACTGGAAATACCACAGGTCTCGATATTAAGGATAATATAATGTCCAAACTTGGCTCGATGAATTTACCCCTTGAATTCCTAGTTGGGCAAAGTTATGATGGCGCCTCAAACATGAGTGGAAGAATCAATTGTTCAGGCCTTGATTAGAGCAGAGGCACCAAAGGCAGCTTTTATTTGGTGTTATTGTCATTGATTAAATTTAATCATTGTTCAATTATGCCAATCAGTTAAAGAACTTCAAATGTTCTAGGAATACTAGATGAGATTTATATCTATTTTAATGGTGTAAAAAGATATGAGGTACTCAAAATATTTCAGTGTAATGATCTGAAAAAATCGCAACGATTTCTACGCATCAATAATACCACTCGGTAATAGTACCTTATTTATTTATATTTAAAATGTTTTTTTATTTAGAAGCTGATCGTCATATAAAGCTATTGTAAATTTTTTTCTACTTTATGATGCCTTGAGGGCAGCTTTAACAAATTTAAAGGATTCTGAAGATCCTGCCACTTCCACTATGGATAGTGCTATAGTCTTTAGAATATAAAAATTTGATTTTATCTTATCACTTAGTGTTTTGGATAAAATATTGTTAATAACAAATTTGGCTTGTACAAAATTGCAAACCATTTCGAAGGATATAGGGTTTGCAATAAATCAAATTCAATTGGCAAAAGATTGCTTGATTAATTTTAAAAGTATAATATAAATTATTGTCTTAATTATTTTTTAATCTAATAGATAATAACACTGAATTTTTGGATGTTTTTTCAAAGGCACAAGATTTTATGAAGAAGAGAAATCTACCTTTTGATTTTAAAAGTTCTAAACTTCAAACATTACAATCCAAAAAGGAGAGGAGGTATATATACTTTCATCATTAAATATAGAAATTTTTTTTAGCTTTAAAATAGGTGTGTTTTATGCTGCACTCGATTTAATTATTATACAGTTTAACGAAAGATTTAATGATGATTCGATAAAATTTTTACATCAAACATCATTTTTTACGCCAAATAATGTGGCAGAAAAATCAATTATTAAAGAAGATATCGAGGATATCTGTGAATTTTACAATTTAAATTCAAGTCAAATTTTCGAAGAAATGTTGAAGTTTAGAAATATTTATAAGATGGCCAAAATAGGGAATGTAATTATTACTCATAACCTAGAGGTTCAAGAATCTAAAGATTTGTCAGATTCTGATAATTGTAAATTTATTTAATTAAAATATTTTTACCAATACATTATTTAACTTCTTCTGATGATGATGATAAATCAGGGGCTTACGATTCAGATTGGAAAAACTATTCATTTACTTTACATTGTCGTCTACTTTTAAATTTTTCTGCTTTCCTTAATTTAAGAATTTTATATAAATATTTATTAACCATTCCTACAACCTCATGTACTGCCGAAAGAGTCATGAGTAAAATTAAATTAATTAAAAGACTTCGTAGTACCATGAAAGATTCATTTCTCAATAATTTAACCATATTATCAATAGAAAAAAATTTATTTAAACAATTAAATATTGATGAAATTATAAATTCTTTCGCTTTCTCTTTCCCTAATTTATCTAAATTACTAATTTAAAAATAATATTTATAAAGTATATATTTTTTGCATTTTATTTATATATATTAAAAATTGATGCAAAGAAATTATTTTTGAAATTTATGGGTGTCATAAAATAATTATAATTTTTTCGAGGAAGGGGGGGGGGGTACTTTTCAGGGGAGTATTCTGCTTCATTCGCTCAGAAAGTGTAGGGGCCACTGAGGCCTTCAGGTTTCGGATATATAAATGAAACAACATTTAGAAGAAAAAAAAATATATTTATTAATTACCAATCTACATCATTATTATATTCATTTTTGCAATTCGCGGCTTGAACATGCTTGCCAAAATTTGAATTAAAAAGCCCATTTATCGCTAAAGATACTAATGTCAATGTAATAGCTTTTATAATGGTTATTTTATTATATTTAAATTTATACTATCGCATGATTAATTACCTTTGTTAACTACTTTAGATATGCAGTGTTGTGCTTGTGAATTGAAATTAGCCACTTTCTTCATTTTTAAATAAAAAATATTATTATGAATAATATGAGGGTCAAAACAAAAAAATCATTGAAATAAAACCATTAAAATTAAATAAAACATTTTATAAAAAATCCTTAAATTTAAAATTATTAAAAATCTTTAAAATAAATAAATAATAATTGTTTTTTTAGAACCAAAACCAATATTTCGAACCATAATAGTTGCAACCTAAAGGACTCATTTATAGTAAACGCGTTATGTTAAGCGTAGCGTACAAAATTAAGCCATTAAACAGGTATAAATTTATAAATATGAAACGTTATGATATAAACTCTATGAGAAAGAAAAACATGTTGCTATGCGTTGATAAAAAACATGCGATACGATTATAAAAATAATTATGAATTCGATAAAAAAGGTATATGATTTTTCATATTAATTATTTTATCACTATTGCTTTATCTTAAATTAATCGTTAATACTGAATCAGCTGTAATAACATTGCATTAAATAACAATGCTTAAAGATAGCGCGTTTACTATAAATGAAGCGCAAATGTGCGTCGTTTCGTAATGCAAAACCCACACAATGCATTTTAAATGGTATCGTGCAAATTGAAAAACAATTTATAAATGTTAATAAAAACGCAAGCTGGTATTCTTTTTTTCGAAAACGCTCATTTCAATTAGGTCACTATATTGATTTTTTTTTAATTGTTTTCCTTTTTTTTGGCGCAATAATTTTTTTTTATTGTTTTCTTCTTTTTTTTGGAGCAATAATTTTTTTTATTGGTATTGTAATTATTAAATATATTAAAATCTCGAAACTCATTTTAAAAAATAGTTATTCCAAAATTTAATGAGTTTCAAAAACTTATATCATCTAAGCGGTTCCCAATAAAATCTAATATTAAATTTTTTTTCCTTTTAATTGCCTAGAAATATTGATCTGAAAATTATAAAATTTATTATTTATAGAAATAAAATAAATAGTGTTGGTAAACAGCTCATTTTAAGCCGATTTTTACAAACAGCTAACTCAATATCTTAGCCAAAGAAAGATAGCCTAAGGCTCCACTTTTCGCTAATAGATGTCTAGACCTTTGTGCCATCTATGAGCAAAATCTGTTGGGTAATATTTTTCTGAATAAAATATTGAGTTCGCCCTTTTTAAAAATCGGCTCAAATCGAGCCTTTTAACAAAACTAAAAAACTATTATGTAAAATACCATGTTATCGCCATCCATTGTTTTAAATAAAATTTGGTTATTTTAAAATGAAATAAATCCACAGGCGTAGATATGGAGGGGGCTAGCAAGGGGAAATCTCTTACCCTCAGAAATATGTCTTTTTGTGAGTATCATTTTAGGGAAACAAAAAATATCATATTTAGCAAATGTAGGCAATTTTTAATAATAATTTGAAGGAAAGAATGTAAATATTTTTTTTAGGAAAAGCATTTATATATAAAAAAAATGATAAACAAAAAATATTATTTAAGAAATAAAATATAAACCAAAGGCTAATATTTAAAGTGTCATTTTAATTACTCTTAATGTGTCCTTAAAATCACGAAATAATTAATATATATAAAATTTAATTTTTATTCTAATAAAAGTAAAAACTTAATTAGTTCCAGGTTTAGATTAGTTTTTGATACCATTTAAAAAATGGCCTGATTGAGATATATGCCAAAATAATATTATGCAAGCCTCTATATTTGGCAGAGGCCCAAACCTTTGTGTTATCTTAGAGCAAAATCTTCAGGCTTACATAATTTTATTTTGGCTAAAATCTTATTCGTTTAATAATACTACTTGGTAACCAATTTCGTACATGTTTAAAATAATGATATGTTGTTAAAATTAAGCTCTTATCCTGTAAAAAATTTTCAAGCTATAATACTTAAAAGCTAAGAAAACCTGGTCGAAGGTTGGGCAAAAGCGGCCGAAAACCTGTCAAATGGCGCCTAGAAATCATTAATTCCTCCCCTGCCCCCTTAAGAAAATCCTGGCTAGGATTAAACTCGGACATATTATTATGGAATCCTCGTCAAATTTGCAGACATTATATATGGATAAGCACATCATTGGAATGCAAATTAAATGAGGATGGATTCCAAATATATAAGAATATTCCTATTTACTAAAACTGCTCATAATAGTCGATCAAAAAAAATAATTTGTTTACAAGTGGCTGTAATTTTTTATAAAAAATAGCAAGCTCTTATTTATAAAATTAATCTATTATTCGTCAAAGATTTAATTAATCTTAATATGTATTCCGAATTTTCAAACAAAATAATTTTCGATAGGCCTAAATTACTCGAGAAAATAAGGGATTTAAAGTCAGAAAATTTTATATCTTAGAAATACCAATTTTGTGATGGTGTTATTGATGCATCACTACTAAGTACGTTTTTTTAACAATACTATAAAATTTTTCCTATAATGTTGGAAAAAAAAGATGCAGAAATTTAAAATCAGCTTGAAGCCAGCATCCAAATCATGAATTGTAACAAATTTGGAACCCAAAACCAGAAGCTCACAGCCGGAAACTATTTTATAATTTTCAGCAACGGGTTCCAACAAAAGTGTAAGTAAAATAAATATATATTATTAAAATGTTGTGATTCCCTTAGATTTATTTATTGTATTAGTTTAACAGAATTTGAAACCGGAAATAGAAACTCTAGGAACTGCGTCAAATTTAAAAAGAGGAAACAGAACTAGCTCTTCAAAATATTAGGAACTAGAACCGGAATTACTATTTTTTAAAAAATAGTTAGAACAGTAAATCCTTTTAATCCAGGTTTAGAGCTATTATTTTAATTCTAGGCAGGCGATATTTATAATTTTAAAATATATTTCGTTAAATTCTTATATGAAGTAGCAGGAAGCTACTTTTAATATTATATAAATCATTACGCAAATATCGAGAAAAGATTTTAATAATTTCTAATTTTAAGATTCAATAATATAGTTGTCAAGATAAATAAATGATAAAATCAATCACATAATTATAATATTATATGTCATGTCACATTCCAAATTACAGCATATACAAATAAATTAATTCAAAAATAATTTTAAAAAAGTGTATAAAATGGTGAATTTTAATAATAATGCTTCAAATTTAGAAAAATACAATAAATATGTAAAATAAAAGATATATTTTTAATTATAAATTTAAGATAATTTTTTTAAAAATCACAGATTGAATTAAGTCATTTCAAAAATATTATTATAAATATTAAATACTATAATTTAAAAATATTATTATAAATATTAAATACTATAATTTAAAAATATAATAAATAGTCTTTTGCATTATTTTAAAAATGGCATTTTGGAAAAATGGGGTATTCTCTTTAAACGGAATTGTTAACGATTATATCATCTAAAGGTAAAGGACATGCTTCAATATCACTGATGATTTGCTTAAAAGATTCCCATAAATTAGGATTATCGATGCAGACCATTCCTCCAGATCTTTTTGCTTGAGTAATCTTTAACCATAATAATTTTAAATTAAATTTTAAAAAGGAACTAGTATTGAAATTTTTTTTATATTGTAAAATATTTTATCTTGTAAAGTGTATTTTAAACTTACGAAGTTATACTTTAAGTAAAATGCATAGTGCTGTTAAACTACTTATCTTTAGTCAACTATAACAGCGTAGCCATCCAAAAATATTCCAATCAATCCTCAAGTTAAGACTCAACTTAGAGACTTAATTCAATTTTTTAGGCTTAAAAGCTTGACTAAGCCATAATTGAGATGGTCAAAGTTAGGAAATTTAACAACACTAAAAATTCAATATCATGTTCTCAAATACTTAATTGTAATCTGAATAAACAATAATAGTGGTAGAGTTATGATTAGTGAATTTGTAGTACCTATAAATTAAGTAGAAGTGTTTACGCGTGTCTGTTTCTGTAAAACGCTACGTTGCTTAAATTAGCACGGTATTTTTAATTAATAAAGCAAAATAAACGTTTTCTATTTCGAATGCAAAATAAAACGTTTACCAATGTGGACGATAACATTTGTAATTTATTTTTTTTAAAAAGTCCGTAAAACGCTTCCTTTTGTAAGTACTATAAGATAAGATATCTCAATTATTTATCTTCTTTTCTTTTTTTTAAAAAAATAATTTTTTAGAATGATAATTCAAACTTTCATAGGTTTTCGGCTCAAAGTTCGAGCTAGACCTGCAACTTGGCTTGATTTATTGGTACGGGTCTTAATCTTAATATTTTGAAACCCACCGCGGACATAAATATTATACAAATCAGGACCGGGCAAGATAAAATAAAAAGCAAGATCAAAAAATTGCTAAAATATTTTTTTTAAAAAACCTGATCGGTCCAAAAAATGAGAAAAATTTTAAAAAACACTATAAAATTAAGAAATTTGATTTTAAAGTTGTATTCTCATTTTTTTTGAAGATTTAAAAAAATAACAAAGGAAGAAATGTAAAATATGTTGTCTGAATTTATAAATGTTACTTCTCGGTTTAAATCTCCCACGCAAACAACTGATCCAGAACTTGCGGTGATTGTCCATTTGGAATGATCAATCAATTCCGAAAAGTGAATTGCATCTAGATTTGACGGGAGATTGTAAGGGTGCCGAGAGTTCATATCTAGATGGGAATGGCTGCTAAACAAAATAAATCGAAAATAGGAATCATACATAAATTAATCATTTAGTTAAATATAAAAATATTGTTTATGAATCCAAGTAAGAATCGAAAAATAATACACTACACCTGCGATATTTGATCATATCTAATCGTGAGTATGAGTTGGTATCATTACAAAATAGAAATCAAGTTTACTTTGATTTCTATTATGTAAAGTTAGGCTCATCGGTAACAACCATTTTTTCATTATGAACGTTATGATATCTATTCACAAACCTGAAAGATATGCCTTTAATGTTTTCAACCCTAGGAATTTTGATGCAGGATGAATTGAGGATATGTCTTTTGTCAACTTGCCACGTTTCGGTCAGCAGATCAGCATCGTAAAAAGGTGCCAGGATGTTCGTGTAGATATCTGCCAAGATGGAGAATTTCAAAATATAAGAGATAAAAATAATTGAGTTTCCGGTTCCCTCCTCTCTTACCTTTGATTTTAAAATTATCTTACTTACTTTGTCTCCTAAAATACTTTATAATATAATAACCGGCATTGAATCTCTTATATTTGGCGAAACCGGTGAAGACAGTTTTAGTCCACAAAGAGGTAAAAAGATTGTTGAGAGTCCAAGGGGCGCTTTTGTTAGAAACGACGTCCTCGTTTTGGTTTAACCATCTAAAATACGAGTTTTCATCCATAAAACTTTCCGGAATGTATTTGTCGTGGATGTAAGGGGTGTCGTAATATATCAATTGACCTTTTTATTATATTTATTTATTTTTTTTGCATCAAACTGTAAAAATTGGGTAACCTATCACAGAGGCCTGATAAGCCTCTGTGCAAATGGGACTCTACTATCTTAACAAAAATTAAAATTTTAAATGGGCAAAATAACTAATAAATAAGTTGCAGACTTTAATTTACTAAATATGCCATAAAATAAAGTGCGAAACGAATTGGCGAGACTGGAATTCACAAGAGTACGAACATTGTTATATTAAAGAATATACACCATTTCGCTTAAAATATTGGAAAGTGAAATATATATGACAATGAGATATTATTCTCTTATACCTACTTTGGGAATATTAACAAAAAAATTAAAATAAACTAAAATATTGCAAACCTCTAGTTGATTCTATAATCAATCATAAATTAATGCTTTGATTATGTTATTCACAAATAAATCATGATAATCATATATTAAATAGCGACTGTGTAAAAAAATAAGTTAAAAAAAATTAAAGTTTCATCCTTTATTATAACATTCTTATAATAGTCATTTCTATATCATCACTATCAAAATGGCGATCACTAAATATAAGTTAGGTCAAGTAGCGTTGAGCGATTGTTTAACAAATTAAAATGTTATATTTTGATATCACCAATATAGACACATGAATGATAATATAGAAATGACTCTATTATTAAAATGTAATCAATAGATAAACCGTATTTATTTTAAAAATATTATCTTATACAGTCACCTATTTAAAAAAATCCTAATTAATAGCTGTATTATATTAGCAGTTTCGTACTACTGGATTTTGGTCAAAAAAATTTGCTATGAATCTTGTCCTATTTATTTTTTAAAAAACTCCTATTTTTATAGAGATAATATGAATAGTTTTTTATTTATCTAACAATACAATTCAAGGGAATATATAAAAATATCGTTACTTATATTTAACAGTTGAGCATGGTCTATGGAAATGCAAAGAAAAATCTGCCCATTCCAAGCTCCGTTTGGCGGATAAAAATAATGGGAAGATTCCTGAACGGAGATTGGGAATCTGGGCAAGCTATGGACTAGCCAGACACCATTGGTTACGTTGGACATCAAAACGCCTTAAAAAATTAATTATATTTATAGGGAGACATGCAAAGTATAATTTTTTTTTTAAAAAAGAAAAAAGTAATATAATAATATCGATTAAAGTAAATTAAAATAAAGTACAAATATTTTTTTTTAATTTGAGGGAAATTTTTGCAAAAAAACCTTTAGTGTGGCCGAAATCAAAATGCTCTTGTCCATCGGGACTTGCGTCGTTGTAGCTCATGCGCATAAAATCCTTTCATATTTTCAGATTTTTAAAAAAAGGGTTTTACAAATATATGAATTTTAATGAACATGTTCACGTGATAGAAGCATACTCAAAATTTTTTTTTTTAAATTATTCAAAAAAAAATTAATCTAAAATATTCATTTTGTTTAAAAAAAGATATATTTTACCGAAACCAGATATAGGATAAGGTCAGGTGACCTATCAAAAATTTATTAGGTATTCTCAATCCGATACAAAATTTATCAATCAAATACGAATATTTCATTGTTCGATTCGATTTTCAGGTCAGGGTGGAGTTAGGGTTAGCAAGATGCCATCCATGGTTATATTTATAGTAGAGATATGCAAAGCCGAGCCCGTACCTGGCAAATTGGCCCATCATATTTTAAAAAATTATTGCCAAATTGGGCTTAACTTTTTAAACATCATTACATTTTGTGAAATAAATTGATATATTTTAAAATTTATGCAAGAAACAAGGGGCCAATATATTTTTCTTGTAGAATATTATTTTTACAATTAAAAATATATTTAATTTTTCTATATTTAAATAAATTTTGGGCCGAGCGGATAAATCATTTTTATTTTAATTTCGGGGCGGACTTTATGGGTAAATAAATAAAAAAATTTGTTCGGGGTATTTTTTTTAAAAAAAATTTAGAGGCGGGCCTAACTAATCTCTATGTTATATCGAATACACATGGCTGACCTGTGTCAAGCTCTCGAATTAGTATATATGTTAGCGACAAAGTGTTATTTTTTCAACTTTAAATTATTTTTTAAGCATGTTTTTAAAATTTAAATCTGATTTTACCGGAAATGTATTCCAGCATGTTTAGAATTATCCTATCTTATGAATTGTAAATAATTTTGCTGCGCTAACCTTTGAGTTATTTATAATTTATATTTAAAAAAATCTATGGAAAAACTAATTTAAATTATATTAAGTTCAGATGTTCATGGCAAAATTGCCTGAAATACATAGAACAGGTATTCCAAACATGATGGAATACATTTCCGATAAAATCAGATTTTTGCGCTCAAAAAATGATTTAAAGTTATAAAATAAAAAAATGATACATTGGCGAAAAAAAAACATTGCGGATAAAATATATCAGGTGGTTGAGGTTAGAATAATATTTATCAATAAATTTGTGCCTAATTTCAGTTAACTTTTAAGGTGAGTTCTATAAACCCAACTGGAGTATTGAAGAGGAAATATATTTTTTTACATGTAACCTTATTCCAGCGCTAATCATAATGGTCTTTTAAGTTAGGGTTAATAAATATTCTATTACTTTACGCGCATGAAATGTCGTGTAAATAAATGTAACCATATTTATCAAAGACCTGTAGGCCCGGCCCTAAGCCCGACACGAGCCAGACCGAATTTTAATTTTTTTAAAATATTACCGGGCCTGGCCTAAAATTTTTTTTATTTAAAATACCCGGGCCAAGCCTAAAATTTTTAAAAAAAAATACTCGGGCCAGGTTGTATATTTTTAAATCGCCATTAACTATAAAAATTAAAAATAAATGTGATATATTTTTAAAAAATCCGGGCATGAATGGTATTTTTTTTAAAACTTGATAAGTAATTTTATATCACATTATTTAACTATAGGGACCTCGAACGGACTTCATAGGGAAAAAATAACTAAGAGATAAAGGGAAATGGTTATTTCCAAAACTCTTCTGGAACATTAAGAAAATAAATATGAATTAGATTATAATATTATATTTTAAATCATAGGGATAATACGTTCGTTTTTTTCTTTGATTTAACCCTTTTATTAATTCCATTTTGTTTGATGAATAAAATATAAATAATTCATTGTCACTTAGTATATTTAATTCGTCATTTATTATTGCCAAAAAAGGAACTAATCAAAATGGATAAAACTATATTTGGCGATTAAACGTTAAACGCAAAGAGTATATATAAAATTCATGTTATAAAATATAGTAATACTATGATTAGTTGTAAAACATTTCCATATATTTTAGACAACTTTCTTATAAAATGGTTGGTTTAATTTGTCGTAATTATTGTTTTTTAAAAAATTTTATCAACACATTTTTTTTACAATAATTACTGGAAAATCTTAGATTTTTTAAGAAAATTGCTAAAATTATAGGGAAATATTTTACAATTTCTATATTTAATATTATAGTTTTAATTAAATAACAATAGATAATTTAGCTGACAAGTTTGCATTGAAAGGTATTCAAATGTATGCAAACATCACTAAAATGATAATAAAAATTTAATAAATTAGAAATAAAACTCAGGGGCCCTTGCTCTTGCTCCTGGCTAATGTTTTAATATACACAAATATTAATAAAAGATTTAATTATTTAACCATGATTGAGATAAGAATCATTTGTATATTCAATCGAAAAAACCTTGTCATTAGTATTTTCATACAATTGTGTCATGGTAAAAGCAAGAGCATTGTTTGATTCTTTGATGTCTTTCTGTGGGTATAACCATTGAGTGTTAGTGTTATCTAAGTACACATATCCATGACCTTCTTTTAATATGACATCCTCACTATATTCTAATTTCGGTATTTTGTAGATTATAAACCTAAGTGCAATAAATAGATAATTAAATAATTCAATTTTTTATAAAAAATAATAAATATATAATATTTAATGTACAATGAGAATAACTGAAGAATTTTTGTTCATAGTTGAAAAAGTCATCTATTGATTAAAACGAGGTGAATGATGGTCATACCCCCAGATATTAATGCAAAATCGCTCCATTTGAGCCGATCTTTAAAAACGACTAACTCAATATTCTATCCAGGAAAATATTACGCAAGCCTGAAGATTTTGGTCATAGATGGCACAAAGAAATTTAATCCCTTGACAAAATTCGTTATATAAAAATAAACGCGAAAGAATTCGTGAGGTGAATAGAGAGATGCTAAACGGCCGATTTTTAAAAACGGGTAACCAAAATAATATTATGTAAGCCTGGAGATTTTGCTCATAGATTGCAGTGAGGTTTGGAACCCTATATGCCAAATCTCGAGGATTGCATAACAATATTTTTGGTTAAAATCTTAATCGATCCGTTTTTTAAAATCGACCCATTAATAAGAACCAAAATTTTTAAACGCCCACTCTTTCTTAATTTGATAATAAATTCCACCCTCCCCCCCCCCCCCATTGATTATAATATAAGTATTTTTTTATACTCGACGCACGTGATATCAACTAGCCTTTGGACAATCCTCATTCCAAAAAATAGTGAGTAAACTCACCCCCTCTAGGGATACAAACTTACGAATGCATGATTCTTATCAAATATTATTTAAGAGTCATATCGAACCTGTTTCCTGCAAGAAAGATTATTCGTGACGTAACCCAAAACAGAGAAACCATACATCAGATTTCTCAAATATTCAAGAACCTCCCAACTTCACCCTCGGACTAACACCTTTCCGAAATGAAGAATATTAAAATTCTCACATGCGAAGCTACAAATCTATTAAACAGTGTACGAGATTTATTAAATATTAATTGAGTTATATTAAACATGTTTTCTGCAAGAAATATTATTAGTGGTTTAAACGGTTATTTTTTAAAATATAATTTCTTATTTATTTCGGTCAGAAAATAAAATTCAACGGCTTGGATTTCATTAATGTTACATTTGCTTTTGAATATAAAACATGTACGTTGGATTTTTCTTAAATTTTTTTTTTATCTTCGTTATTAACTCAGAGAGGCCCTTAAAATTAGGTATAAAACCAAATTTTATAAATCCCCATTATCTATGAAAATAAATGTAATATATATTTTTTTTAAATCCAGGCCAAGCTGATTTTTTAAAAAAAAATCGGGGCAGGTCATGCAAATGGAGCGAGTCTATACATTAAGGAGTCAGGAATATTTTTATCAACACGAAATATCGATATGGGTATCAAATAAAAGCCTATTTAAATATATTTCTACTGATAATAGTATTTAATCTCAATCTTAAATTGCTGGACTTGGTTTAAGGGAGGGCAATTAAGCCTTAAGCCATTGCTTCCTGGTTAGCGAGGTCGTGAATGTGGAAATATTGCATTGGGAAAATCGTCTTTCAACATTGATTAAATAATTTTATTAACTTTTAAATCCTCCTCCATTATCACTTTGAAGAATTTTTGGTGGACCGTAAATATGAAACAATTTGCATATAATTTTAACTAATTTTTCCCTTGCTTTTACCTCAATGGCTGTGCATAAGTAAATTTAAATATATGCTCTTTGAAGAGTATAATATTTTCGAAATTCTTAGAATATTAACAATATTTTTTCTATAATTATAATAAATGGGATTAAAAGTTATTGAAATTATTTGAATTGTACAAATAATGTATGAATGTGATGCAAAAAAATAAAATATGATTAATAAAAATGCAGTACTAGTTTTAAAATATTCTGGAATATAATCTTTTTATTTATTCAAAAATTTAGGAATAAACACAAGAATCAACTAGATTGGAACAATATATGCCACAGTTCCAGTGAATAAACTCAAGGATTACATATAAAATTGTATAGTATGTTCAATGAAGACAAGATAGCCAAAGGCCCCAATTGGTAAAGTTTCCATGTCCATGGCAATATGAGGTGGAGTTGTAATGGCTAGTATTGATTTTAGTAGCACTTCTGATGGAGAAATTAAATACATTTGTCTACATTTACATATGCAAAGGGTCTGATATCAAAACAAGCAAAATAGTTAAAGTTATAAGTAAATTGTTTTATACTTTTGTTCTCCATAAAAAATTCTACAGTGATAAGGGAAAAGAATTTAAAAATAAATAAAATGATTGATTTGTCTAAAAAAATTATAGATAAAATGCTTGAATCAATTTTAAGGGATGATTTTTCCATTGTAATATTTGCACATTCATGACCTTGCTACTTGGTTTAATTAAGCTAGTAAATGGAATCAAGAATAAGCAGATAAATGCTGGAGACAAGAAAACTTGATTGGGCAACTGCATTCCTCAAATTGGTATTTAATAATCTAGAATATTCTAGAACAATTAAAAACACTGCATTTAATGTTTTCATTACAACACTTTATTTGATAAGTAGCGAAGTTGTAGTGTAGTGCCCCAAGTAAAAATTAGAAATTATTAAAGATTTTTTTAAATAATAATGCTGTAGTTTCTATAAAACCTAAACATCAATCATTTTCATACAGGCCATACATCTTCTAATTTCATCAATCAAAAGATATTCACATGGATTTACAATATTCGTCATAATTAATGTATACAAATTAGAGACCAGCCTGGGTATAAGGGCTGGTCTGCATTTTATTGAAATTTTTTTTTAAATATCCAGGATGGGCCTAAAAAAAATTTTTTTAAAAAATACCAGGGCAGGATATTTCAAATCCAAATATTTTAAATCACCATTATTAACTATAAAGATTAAAAATAAATATATTTAAAAGAATGACCAGACTGTGCAAATAGTACCTCTGCAGATTTCTGGCTTAGATAAACAGTATTGGAAATATTTCATGAATTTTCCTTGTGTGGCATTAGAAAAATGTATACCTTTAATATGCCCTTTATCATATTTATAAAATTGTAAAGAGGGAAGTATTGATCTGAATAAAATGTTTTAGGCTTGCCTTGGCAACTAATATTTTTAGCGTCATCTATGCCATTTACAGGCCCTTATTTTGATATTAAATGCTAAAAATGATTTTAAAAAATAGTGCATTTGAATTAAAATACATATAAACTAAAATTCTCCTTTTTAATGATTAAATTGTGACTGTTTAAATTAATTAAAAATTAGGTGAGGGGGGGGGGAGGTTTGTGTTCAGGTTTTTTGTTGTAAAAAAAGAAATTAAGAATTCATTAGAACAAGATTAGCTGTATATAAATGAGAGATGAGATGTGTTGGACAAAGATTATTAATTATATATAAATATATAGTGTTGCGTAATCGGCTAATTTTAGCCGACTAAAAACGGCTTAGCCGAGATTTTAGGTGGAAAAATCGGCTAAGCCTAATTAGGTATAGCCTAAAAATCGGCTAAACCTAATTAGGCTAAGCCTAAAAATCGGCTAAGCTTAAAAATCGGCTAAGCCTAAAAATTGGCTAAGCCTAAAAATGGGCTAAGCCTAAAAATTGGCTAAAAATAAATTATTCAAAATTCTGCATCGATGCTTAGCATTAATTATTATTTATTTATTTTAGTAAAATAATTTATTTTATTTATATTTAATGTAAATATTTTATTATTATCAACAAATAAACATGATAGGATTTATTTTTTATTTATATTATTATATTTTGAAATGAAAATAAATTTATTTATTTGATGTTTTTTTAATAAAAAAAAATAATATGCTGCTATATTGTAAAAATGTAATATTCTTTAAATATAATTTATTAGTGATTTTCACAATCTTCTTTGTAAATACATCTTTTATTGAGGAATTATATTGTAAATTTTATTAGATAAATACACAATCTTTTAGGTGAAATCTTTTATCATTTTTTTTAAAATTATCTATTTATTATTAAATGAGGTGGATTTTATGAAACTTTTTTGATGTTATTTTATATGATCTTTTTAAGGATAATATTTTAATGTGACAATTGTCATAATCGTTCTTTTATAAGTTTTTTGAATTTTTTGAAGAAAGTATGTTAAAATAAGTATTAATAACATGTGTAAATACAAATTTAGTGAAGATGTACCAATGAAAAGTGACAATTGTCATAATGGTTAATTTTAAAGTTTTTTGAATTTTTTTGACGAAAATTTGTTAAAATAATTATTAATAACATGTGTAAATATAAATTTAGTGAAGATGTACCATAGAAAAGTGACAATTGTCATAATTGTTATTTTTAAAGTTTTTCGAATTTTTTTGACGAAAATATGTTAAAATAAGAATTAATAACATGTGTAAATATAAATTTAGTGAAGATGTACCAATGAAAAGTGACGATTGTCATAATAGTTAATTTTAAAGTTTTTTGAATTTTTTTGACGAAAATTTGTTAAAATAAGTATTAATAACATGTGTAAATATAAATTTAGTGAAGATGTACCATAGAAAAGTGACAATTGTCATAATCGTTATTTTTAAAGTTTTTCGAATTTTTTTGACGAAAATATGTTAAAATAAGAATTAATAACATGTGTAAATATAAATTTAGTGAAGATGTACCAATGAAAAGTGACAATTGTCATAATGGTTAATTTTAAAGTTTTTTGAATTTTTTTGACGAAAATTTGTTAAAATAAGTATTAATAACATGTGTAAATATAAATTTAGTGAAGATGTACTATAAAAAAGTGACAATTGTCATAATCGTTATTTTTAAAGTTTTTCGAATTTTTTTGACGAAAATATGTTAAAATAAGAATTAATAACATGTGTAAATATAAATTTAGTGAAGATGCACCAATGAAAAGTGACAATTGTCATAATGGTTAATTTTAAAGTTTTTTGACGAAAATTTGTTAAAATAAGTATTAATAACATGTGTAAATATAAATTTAGTGAAGATGTACCATAGAAAAGTGACAATTGTCATAATCGTTATTTTTAAAGTTTTTCGAATTTTTTTGACGAAAATATGTTAAAATAAGAATTAATAACATGTGTAAATATAAATTTAGTGAAGATGTACCAATGAAAAGTGACAATTGTCATAATAGTTAATTTTAAAGTTTTTTGAATTTTTTTGACGAAAATTTGTTAAAATAAGTATTAATAACATGTGTAAATATAAATTTAGTGAAGATGTACCATAGAAAAGTGACAATTGTCATAATCGTTATTTTTAAAGTTTTTCGAATTTTTTTGACGAAAATATGTTAAAATAAGAATTAATAACATGTGTAAATATAAATTTAGTGAAGATGTACCAATGAAAAGTGACGATTGTCATAATAGTTAATTTTAAAGTTTTTTGAATTTTTTTGACGAAAATTTGTTAAAATAAGTATTAATAACATGTGTAAATATAAATTTAGTGAAGATGTACCATAGAAAAGTGACAATTGTCATAATCGTTATTTTTAAAGTTTTTCGAATTTTTTTGACGAAAATATGTTAAAATAAGAATTAATAACATGTGTAAATATAAATTTAGTGAAGATGTATCAATGAAAAGTGACGATTGTCATAATCGCTATTTTTAAAGTTTTTTGACGAAAATATGTTAAAATAAGTATTAATAACATGTGTAAATATAAATTTAGTGAAGATGTACCATAGAAAAGTGACAATTGACATAATCGTTATTTTTAAAGTTTTTTGACGAAAATATGTTAAAATAAGTATTAATAACATGTGTAAATATAAATTTAGTGAAGATGTACCAATGAAAAGTGAAAATTGTCATAATCGCTATTTTTAAAGTTTTTTAAATATAAATTTAGTGAAGATAGTGACATTTGTCGTAATCGTTAATTTTAAAGTTTTTTGATTTTTTTTGAAGAAAATATGTTAAAATAAGTATTAATAACATGTGTAAATATAAATTTAGTGAAGATGTACCAATGAAAAGTGACATTTATCATAATTGTTATTTTTAAAGTTTTTTGAAGAAAATATGTTAAAATAAATATTAAAAACCTATTTAAATAAAAATTTAGTGAAGATGTACTATAGAAAAGTGACAATTGTCATAATCGTTATCTTTAAAGTTTTTTGAATTTTTTTGACGAAAATATGTTAAAATAAGTATTAATAACATGTGTAAATATAAATTTAGTGAAGATGTACCAATAAAAAGTGACATTTGTCATAATTGTTATTTTTAAAGTTTTTTGAATTTTTTTGAAGAAAATATGTTAAAATAAATATTAAAAACATGTTTAAATAAAAATTTAGTGAAGATGTACTATAGAAAAGTGACAATTGTCATAATCGTTATCTTTAAAGTTTTTTGAATTTTTTTGACGAAAATATGTTAAAATAAGTATTAATAACATGTGTAAATATAAATTTAGTGAAGATGTACCAATGAAAAGTGACATTTGTCATAATTGTTATTTTTAAAGTTTTTTGAATTTTATTGACAAAGATATTTTAAAATAAGTATTGATAACATGTTTAAATAAAAATTTAGTGAAGATGTACTCTAGATAAGCGACAATTGTCATAATCGTTATTTTTAAAGTTTTTTGATTTTTTTTGACGAAAATAGTTAACTTGCATCGATATTGATTTCAAAATAGAAAAAAAAGTTTACCCAAATTTTAAACAAGATTGTCTGATGAAAATTGGTAAAAAAAATAATAATTTCTAAATTAGGATTAGATATTATGATATAAATTTTGCATATTAATTTCTGACCCGATGAACAAATGTAATAAAATCCCAATTTGCTCCTGTTTTTGGGGAAGAATCTATTATTACCATATGTGTTTCTATGGCATATACTCAGGCAATTTTAATTTTACAATCTATATTTTTACCCATTTACATCAAAGAAATTTTAAAAATAACGATTATGACAATTGTCACTTTTCTATAGTACATCTTCACTAAATTTTTATTTACACATGTTATTATTTCGTCAACAAAAATCAAAAAATTTAAAAAATAATGATTATGAAAATTGTCGCTTATCTAGAGTACATCTTCACTAAATTTACATTTACACATGTTATTAATTTAATACTTATTTTAACATATTTTCGTCAAAAAAATTCAAAAAACTTTAAAAATAACGATTATGACAATTGTCACTTTTCATTGTCTTCACTAAATTTATATTTACACATGTTATTAATACTTATTTTAACATATTTTCGTCAAAAAACTTTAAAAATAACCATTATGACAATGTCAATTTTCTATGGTACATCTTCACTAAATTTTATTTAAACATGTTATCAATACTTATTTTAACATATTTCTTCAAAAAAATTCAAAAAACTTATAAAATAACGATTATGACAATTGTCACTTTTCTATGGTACCTCTTCACTAAATTTCTATTTACACATGTTATTAATACTTATTTTAACAAATTTTCTTCAAAAAAATTCCAAAAACTTATAAAATAACGATTATGATAATTGTCACTTTTCTATGGTACATCTTCACTAAATTTTTATTTAAACATGTTTTTACTACTTATTTTAACCTATTTTCTTCAAAAAAATTCAAAAAACGTATAAAATAACGATATGACAATTGTCACTTTTCTATGGTACATCTTCACTAAATTTTTATTTAAATATGTTTTTAATACTTATTTAACATATTTTCTTCAAAAAAATTCAAAAAACGTATAAAATAACGATTATGACAATTGTCACTTTTCTATGGTACATCTTCACTAAATTTTTATTTAAACATGTTTATAATACTTATTTTAACATATTTTCTTCAAAAAAATTCAAAAAACGTTAAAAATAACTATTATGACAATTGTCAATTTTCTATGGTACATCTTCACTAAATTTTTATTTAAACATGTTATTAATACTTATTTTAACATATTGTCGTCAAAAAAAATCAAAAAACTTTAAAAATAGCGATTATGACAATTGTCACTTTTCTTTGGTACATCTTCACTAAATTTATATTTACACATGTTATTAATACTTTTTTTAACCTATTTTCTTCAAAAAAATTCAAAAAACTTATAAAATAACGATTATGACAATTGTCACATTAAAATATTATCCTTAAAAAGATCGTAAAATCATCAAAAAAGTTTCATAAAATCCACCTCATTTAATAAAAAATAGATAATTTTAAATGATAAAAAAATTATAAAAGATTTCACCTAAAAGATTGTTTATTTATCTAATAAAATTTACAATATAATTCCTCAATAAAAGATGTATTTATAAAGAAGATTGTAAAAATCACTAATAAATTATATTAAAAAGAATATTACAATTTTACAATATAGCAGCATATTATTTTTTTTATTAAAATAACATCAAATAAATAAATTTATTTTCATTTCAAAATATAATAATATAAATAAAAAATATTAAATCATATCATGTTTATTTGTTGATAATAATAAAATATTTACATTAAATATAAATAAAATAAATTATTTTACTAAAATAAATAAATAATAATTAATACTAAGCATCGATGCAGAATTTTGACTAATTTAATTTTAGCAGATATATATATGCTTAGCCAATTTTTAGGCTTAACCTAATTAGGCTTAGCCGATTTTTAGTTTTAGCCGATTTTTAGGCTTACCTAATTAGGCTTAGCCGATTATTAGGCTTAGCCGATTTTTAGGCTTAGCCTTATTAGGCTTAGGCGTAGTTTTTAGCCGATTACGCAACACTATATATATATATATAAATGGTCTATATGAAAACAAAACTTTCAATTTATTCATAATATTAGCACCAACATCAATAGGGTATACATATTACTTTAGAGAAAAAAAATCTCTATTAATAAAAAGAAAATATTATTAAACATGACCCAAAAAAATGAGATGTGATGGACAAAAGTGATAAATTATTCAATTATATATGCTTTAGATGGTCAGCAAGATAAGGAGATTTTTAATTTATACATAATACTATAACAGTAACACCAACAGATCTACTTATTCAATATATACATTTAATAAAAAGCCCTTGCCCTGCCCCATAAAGTAATGAAATATATGAGAAATTGAAGTGAGATAGTGGTAAATGAACACTGATAAATCTCCGTTTATATAACGATTAAGGGAAGGATAGATTAACTTAAGGACTCTATCTACCAGGACTATAAGGCTTCCAGAGTGTGAAACATGTTTAGATAAATATATATTGGTGCAGAATAAAGTACATGCATTATTTTTAGAATAAAGAAATTCTTAGTCTGGTATAAAATAAATCAAAGGTTTAGTCTTTATGTAATAATTTCAATTCTCCTTCTAATTGATGAGCCAATCAGTGATCTCTCATATAATTGAAAGAAAATATTAATGCAAGAAGGGGGGATTAGTATAATTGTGTATTTCAAAAATTAACTTATAACTAAAATATGATTTTTAACCCCCCCCCTTCCCCATGCAAAATCTCAGAGAGCCACTGGATATGTAAGTAGAATTCATACTCAATGAAACCCTAAATATATGCTCCATTCCAAATAATTTATGAATGTGGCATTGCTAATATTTCATAAAAATATATTATTTTTATTAATTCTTGAATTAAAAAATATTAAATATAATTATTGATATTGACTTTTATATAGGATATGACATATAATTTTATTCATATTATTTACCAATCAACATCTTCATTCTTTTCATTTTTGCAATTGACAGAGTAGCTAGCATGTATACAAAGTGATAAAAGAAATATAAGAAAAATCATTCGTACAATTTAATTGAATATACCACTACATAAAAAAGATGGACATCCGTCTATTATTGTAACCACAATGACATAATAGTAATATTTTTAATGTATGACACGATAGTAAACGTTCATTTAATAATGATAACATATCGAAACCCATACAAATTTTTTAAAAAATCCGTCGATGCTAATATAAATCCATCTTTCACAGATATATACCATGCCGATATATCATATATCAACAATATGCATATTCCTATACAATTTTTTTTAGCACATATTGGATATAACATATTTACAATATAACATATATAATAAATTTTCTTATTTATTTGATACTTCTTCTCCTAACAGTGAATACACCTGCGATACATAATAACCTATTACCATTGTCAAAGTATTGTTAGCCAAAGGGGGGGGGGGGTGGGGATTCTCCATTCGGAAATTAGTCTATTTACGCAAATATCCCCCTCCTCTTCTTCAAAAATGTATATAATATGCAGAAGCATGTGAAAGAAAAATTAGTAAAAGTTAATAACGTTTAGAAATAACGACTACAATTGAAAAATTTTAGAAAAAATGCGATTATAAGAAAAAGTAAAAAACCAAATTATTTTGAAATAAACAATATAGTTAAAGGCTTATAATAGCTTTTATTTTACAAATATTCTCATTATTTTTATAAAATAAATAAATTATACAAAATCTAATTTTTTAAATATAATGGTTAGTTTAATCAGGCAGTGGATAAAATTTAAATTTTAGTCTATTTAGTTTAAAATGAGATTAATTTGTTTACCAAGCCCAGGGATTTACTAGCCCAGCCCCCCCCCCCCCCCCCCGCACTAATTTTTAAAATATTGTATCTTATACAATTTTTTTGGGCATTTTGATTAAGTTCTCCCGCCTTTGTTTATGAATCTAACAACCCTGGTTACAAATCTATTTGGTTTTAATTGATGAATATAATTTTATCGAAGAAGCATAAAATGGCTGAGAACAGTTTTATCTTTTAATAATTTATATTTTATATTATATCTTTAGGGATATAAGAAGCAATTAATGTTGATCAGCAAATCTATTGAGCACTTGAAAAAGAAAGAAATCTAATAATAAAATATTACACAGATTATTTTCTTAGGAGATTAACTAATTAAATAATGGAGTTCATTTCTAGTTAAGAGATAAAATAGTCTATATTTATTTTTCGAAGTAGGAAAATTTAATATTAAATTTTTAGGGATAAAAAGAAGATTAATGATGGATCATCAAATCTATTAAAAACTTTTAAAAGGAGGGGTATCCAATAGTAAAGGTATACAATATTTCTTTCTTTCATATACTATTATTATATATTTATTAGGAGATTAAATAATGAAATCTATTTAATACATAAAAAGGAGGGAAATCTAATAATAAAAGTAAGTATTTGGGGATAAAATAGCCCATATTTTAATTTTGAAGGAGCGGAAAATTGAAAAGAACGGTATAATCATTTAATTTTTATATTAATTATTATATTTTTGGCATAACTGGCGATTAGCGATGAATTATAAAATCTATTGAATACTTGAAAACTAAGAGAAATCTAAAATTAAACACATATATAATACTACTCTCCCATAGGCGTAGCCAAGATTTTCCTAAGGGAGGGGGGGGGGAATCAAAAAATTACTGGGGCTTTGCCCCCAGACCCCATTTTGGGAATGTAGGAAAGTTATAATAAATTTCAAATAACGTAACCTTTAAAATATATAAAGTAACCTTTAAAATATATAAGATAATATTAACCAATGTCAAATTTAAATCATTGGAGCAATCTCTTCACATTCCCTTTCAAATGCCTCTCAATCCCAAAAGATAACAAATCTATCTCACTACCTAACCTAATAAAAGACAGACTTAAAAATTTGGAAAATTTAACACTATTAGAATACGGTCAAAATTCCAATTATTTTAATGAAAGTTTCAGTATTAACTACAACAAAATATCCAAAAAAATAAATGAAGGCGACATATGCGGTGCACAAGAATTAATCTCTTCACAAACAAAACTCGCCCCATCTAACGACGTGATCCTTGACAAACTAAAATCCCTTCATTTATATGCCTCTTATACTAGCTACCTTAGTCTATATATAGTCATAAAATATTTTTACAAGATAGGAGGTTAATTTTAATAAAAAAAATTAGCCTGGAACAAATAGGAAATATATTTTTATTAGTTTATATAAAATATAATAAATAACTTATATATACATTAATATAAAAGCATAGTAATAATTTATTCCAAACAAGTATAAGAAATTTATTTATAAAAAGTAAGTAGACATCTAGTGATATTCCCCCATTATATAGAATTAGTTACGAAATACAAGGTAAAATTCCACTTTTACAGACATGTTTGACAGTTAGAGAATATATTACAGTTAATATTTTAACAAATTTTACTAATCAATGCTCTTGATAATAAATATAGCAGCAATATGCAATCAATTATTTAACGCCATCTATATAGTAAAAATTAATTTTCATATTATTCATCCCACAATGTCTTTAAAAGATATTTTTTGATGTCCTTATCAATATTTTATAGTTTTCTGTAAAATATATAATTCGCTATATTGGTAAAAATAACTAGATTGTCATTTCATAATTGATATATGTAAATCTACGACATATAATATTCCACTGTTTGTATTGTGCTTTAATTTTTTATTTAATTTATGATTTAATTTTATCAATAGTTTTATAATTATATTTTACTTTTATTAAGATAAATAAAATTACTCACTTTATAAAAAATTATATTTGATATATTATATTATTAGTAATTTTATGGATCTATTATTAATAATTATAATACATTTCACTTTTGTCTTAAGACTTATCTTTGGCTTATATTCCATTTTTTAAAAAACATTTTTGGTTCACTTTTTTTATATATAAAGACTTTTTCCAAAAATGTATGAATTATGATGAATAGCTTTATAGAAAAATATCAACTTTTACATTCTTTCTTTCAAATTATTGTTTAAGATATATGCATACATTTTTGGGGGTCAGGGAGTGGGGAGAGGACTAAGGGGGATATTTTTTATTAGCTTAAAATGATATTCACAAAATATGATAAATTTCTGAAGGGGGGGATTTCCCTTTGTCCACCCCCTGGCTACGCCTATGTACTTTCCATATATTTTATAGGGGATTAAGTTGATTTTGAGATAAAATTCCGCATATCTTGATTTCAAAGGAGTGTAAAATGGAAAACAGGTAACGGCCTATGAACAGCTGGCTGGGCGGGCACATAAAGGCCTCAGATCTACGCTAGATAGATATCTCAAGAATTTAACCATTATATATTACTAAAGCCTTAATAAACTTATCTGGTGGGCGCTACGCCACAAAAAAGTTACCGAAAAATATATAAGAATAATAGAGGATATGTATATGGGACATACAACAATGGTCCGCAGCACAACAGGTACTTCAGCAGGCTTCACAATAGCCGAAGGAGTTCATCAAGGGTCGGCTCTCAGCCCACTTCTCTTCATTACAGTAATAGATGTATTAGCACAGTCTATACCTCAAACAGTCCCGTGGAATATGATATTTGCAGATGATATTGTTATACTTGCCGAATCCAAGGATGAAATGAAAGAAAGGTTAGTGAATTGGATAAATATCCTAGAAACGCACGGATTAAAAGTAAAAGAGAAAAGACGGAGTATATGGTGATAGGAGGAGATGAAACGGAGAGTATTGATATAAATGATTGGCAGATATCCGCAATTGAAAGCTGCAAATATTTGGGCTCCACTATACAAACAAACGGCACAATAGAAAAAGAGATAAAGAATAAGATTAATCAAGGGTGGTTTAAGTGGAGATCTTTATCTGGAGTGCTATTTGACAAAAGAATCCCACACAAATTAAAGGGAAAAATTTACAGTTCCATAGTACAACCAACTATTCTTTATAGTTCGGAAACATGGCCAACCAAAGAATCAGACGAGAGAAGTCTACAAACTATGGAGATGAGAATGCTGAGGATGATTGCTGGGGTAACAAGAAAGGATAAGGTGCGCAGTACAAGAATACTAAATAGTTTAAAGGTAGTGCCCATTAAGACTAAGTTAATGGTAAACAGACTTAGGTGGTATGGGCACACAATGAGAAGGCTTATGAACTACATAGGAAATAAAGTTGAAAGATTGGAAGTGATGGGCAAACGTAAAAGAGGAAGGCCAAAACTTCAATGGGGCCATAAAGTTAGAGCCAATATAAAGAAGTATAAAATAGATAAAAGAGATTGTACGAATAACATAAAGTGGAGAGAGATGTTGAAGGAGCTTACCACCAGAAAAGGTGAAAGCTAGAGAGAAAAAAAAAATAAAAAAATATTACTAAAGCCTCGAGTTTTGGTCAAAAGATGGTCATACTTATACTAATTTAGTGAGAAATCATGGCTTAGTTATTTTTTATAACTGGTCATGACTTATCTGTTAAAAAAAAGCTATAACGGAAGTTTTCGCCAGGCTCTAGATGAGATTATATATCTAATTTAGTTTGATTGTAATTATTTTCGATGAATATAATTTTATAGATGTAAAAAGATGGTCAGAATATTTTAGAAATATATACAAAGTCATATAGAAAGATTTATTAGGTGTACTAGGGATATAAAAATTTTTGTTACAAAAATTATTTTACAAATAGGGTGAATAATTTTAAGTTAGCCTAATACTAATGACTTAATATTAATTTTGAAGGAAAATTTTCGAATTGATTTTATAAGATAACTAAGAAAGTGGATAAAAACTTTCTGATATTTTTTAATTCTTGGAATCTTTTTAATCTATTTTGTTGATATAGATCTTTATTTAACAATTAAAAATATATTTTGCATAAAGAATATAAAAAATTTAAATCAATAATCGTTATCAACAAAAATGGTAAACAAAAATCAAAAAAGATATTCTGAAGTTCTATTCTGTACTGAGAAATCTATGGTATGTTACTTAAGAATACTTAATTTTAGGCATAAGGTTATTTTATTTG